CCCCTGTTACCTAGCAGTAAAATAGGTACCTGGGAGTTAGTCAGCTGTCACGGGCTGCTTCCTGGGGGTGGAGGCCTGGTCGAGGACCGGGCTGCGAGGACATTAAAGCCCTGAAATCATCTCAAGATAACCCATCTGTCGGGGTTCACCAATCTCCCAGTTGCATTTGTAACCTAGACGTAGTGTATATAACCGAACTGCTATTTTCCTGTGGATTCCTTTTGGGATGTTTAACCTAGGAAGAAACAGTGGAGAGACAAAGATAGCCTCTGTGACCAACATTTGGGAGAAAGTAACGGCGACGATTAAGGCTAGCCTAGTGGCAGTAGAAAACAAAGCTGAAAAAGTGCACCCTTATGATGATGAGGTGCAGGGCAGCGTCGTGAATTTTAGGGTTGGTACACAGACCTTAGAACACCTCAAAAGTTGGACAAGAGGATTGAAGCTCTAGAAAAGTTAGCTGTAGGAAACATATGAGGTGTAGTGGGGAGTGAAACGGAGGGGAAGAAAGTAAGGAGGAAGATGGCGTATCACGGGTGGAAAAGTCTCAGGAAAATGAACTATCCACCAGTGATGGCAGTGTTCAACCCAGTGTGGGGAAAATGTTGAAACAAACGCTTAGGAAAAATAGTTTACAAAAATAGAAGTTGAAGACACAGTTAAGAATATCATTACCTTTGAGTGTAGTGGGTGCACAGGTGTTGAGCAAGAAGCAGTGTTAAAATGTTGGGAGTCTGTGTCCAAGGGCCTATTACTTCTCAGTAAGTTATCAGAAGGCGGCAAATTTAAAAGTAAATTATCAGACAGCGGCACAGTTTAAGTTTAAGAGTAAATTATCAGTACTGCTCGTTAGGCAGTACTGTGAAACTAATCATTTAGCTCAAGGAGTGCAGACAGACTTTAGGGCTCGGAGGGTGTCCAGCCTCCATGATGGCCCGGGGAATGATGGGAACCGGAGAACCCCAATTTAGTTTGGATCAGAACCCACTCAACACGGGTTTCCTGGTAATTGACATGCTTTTGTCTACTTCCTTCCTCTCGTGACTACCAATGATCGACATGATCTTCGCCTGTACAACTTTTAAATAAAACAGCAATGCTAAGCAAGATAAAGAACACGCTCTAATTATTTTAATTTACAAATGTATAATGTACATGTACTGTACATTAGTTAAGGTAAACTGTACATTAGTTAAGGTAAACTGTACATTAGTTAAGGTAAACATTAGGTAAACTTGCAAACATTACCAATGTCCACATGTAACATAAATTATACCGGAAAGTCTACACCATTGTCGGGGACAGGAAGCCTGTTAGGCATATCAAGGTCAGTTTAGCCAAGGGCCAGACTGTCCAGTTGGTCACGCACCCTGCAGGTGGTGGTCACTCCCAATACCCACCTTTAACCTGACTGATCAAGTGAGGTGCACAACATCTACCGCAACACGACAACCGTATACCAAGAGGGGCAACCAATAATTAATGTGCAGAATGCAGTAACAGTCTCTCAGCCCACTAGGAACGCCGTCAGGACTTTATATTGCTTCTACACAAATGACAGAAGCCTAGTAAATAAGTTTGATGGATTGTATGCATACGCTGAGGCTGAGAATCACGTCATTGGCATCAGTGACACATGGAGACGAGAGAATATTATTGACGGAACTTCCATTTTCCAGCCTAGCATCCACCATTCAGAAAGGACTGAACAACAAGAGCAGGTGATGTAATGCTCTGTCTAGAGGAGAAATTGAACGCAGCAATGTGGAATAAAAACACAATGGCATCCTCAAAATCTATATGATGTAACACTAGCTGAAAATGGTAGCAAACTGACAGTGGGAGTACGCTAGAGGACTGACGCGGCAACAGCAGAGGAAGTTGCTAATCTGCATAATACGATCAATGCGGCAGTGAAAACAACCGCGGGTGACTTTAACCACGAGGCAATATATTGGGTAAATCTAACATCACACGCAGACGGTGAACAATTAAATCAAAGTGACTATTGACACGTCACTTATTGATCTAAGCCAATTAAGTGACCTAGTACAGCATGTGGCAGCGTCTTCCCGAGGTAACAACATGCTAGATCTTGTGCTAACATCAGAGGAGAGCATGAAGGATCAAATGCAGGTAGGGGAAAAGTCCTCCCCCCACGTGTGATCACAATATTCTAAGATGGTTTAAAGTTATACAAACCCATGTAAAGGTCTTGGATGATGACTTTAGACCACCCTTGAGGAGACCATCAAGGGAGGAGAGGAACTGTAAGACATCTTCTGGAGGAAGTTAATAGATCAAGACTCGGAAGCATCATGGGGGAAACTTCAAGAAGGTCATCACAATTTGTTCAAAAATATGTACCAAAATAGACAAATTAAAGACTTAAAACTAAGCGGTACTTCTGGAGGAGGAATAAATCCAGGAAGAACAACATAGATTATGTGACGTACAGAAGGGCGTTCAATTCAGCCACCCAGAAAAGCCAAAAGAAACTACGAAAGAAAGCTTAAAAAAATACAAAATATTTTTATACATATAGTAAATAAGAAGCAAAACCAAAACAAAAGACTCAATAGGACACTGAAAAGATGAGACCAAGTTACAATTAATAGACAACAAAAGGGCAGCCAACACTCTGAATGAATATTTTACATCAGTGTTCATATTAGAGAATTTAGGCAACAACCCAATCCCCCATACAAAGGTTTGAAACTGGTGAAGAGAATGAATGAAGATATATTTCTATAACGTGAGATATAATCAGGAAGAACATTGACAAACTAAAAGACTCAAAAGTTCCAGGTGTGACGGAATTCAGTCTAAAGTCATAAAGTAAAATATATAAAATAAATAAAGGTCCTGTGGCAGATGATCTATACCTACCACTGAAACTCATTTTCAGAAAATCTCTGGATCAAGGGCTAGTTCCCCTAGATTGAAAATATGCAAATGTTACTCTTATTTGTTTTCAGCTTTCACCTTCAGTCCCCATTTGTCTTGATGATTTTATCGAACTGGCTCTTAAAATCCAAAAGGGTTTTGGCATTTACGGCGTCGGTGGGTAGGCGATTCCAGGGGTTTCCCTATAGGTGAAAAAGCATCTTCTGTTTTCTGGCTTACATTGTGGCTTAAGCTTGAAGCCGTTGTTCCTTGTTTGTATTACGTTTGACCTTTTGAAGAGGTCATCTAGATCAATATAATAAAAATTGTTCAGTATTTTAAGTCTCGATGCGATCAGCCGTCATGTGTGGTCTGCAGTGTTGTTAGTCCTGTGGCCCTCAACCGTTCCTAGTATGAGAGTCGACTTAGTCGTGGGATAAGTTTTGTTACCCGATGTTGAGCCTATAAAGAAACTTCTGAACAACTATGCTATGCCAGCTATGGCATAGCATAGCCATAGAAACAGCTATGTCCTTCTGAATATGAGGTTTCCACGCTTGGATACAATAATCCAAGTGGGGAGGGGGGGGGGAGACTCATCCCAGTTGAATAACAACTACCTTCTTTTCCTTGAAGTCAAAGGTTTGCTAGACTATTTCTAGGGATTGGTTATCTTTTTTTTAATTAGTTCCCACGTTGTGAATCTTTCAATGAATTATGGATTCTGACTCCAAGGTCCTTTTCATACTAACGCTGCAAGGTAATGTTGTTAATTTTGCTGTTGTGATGTTGATTTTGCTTCACATGTAAGGCTTTAATCTGAACTATGGGCGCATCCGATCCCACGATCGTCGTCGCCCCTAAATCAACACAACAACAATCTGAACTATATCCGATCATATTTCAACAACTGACACCAATACCCAGCCATCAATGATAATAACCGCTCCCACTCTATCATTAAGCACAGGAGTGCCACAAGACAACATTTTAGGCCCTTTCCTATTTTTTATATACGTCAATGACTTGATAATACCATAAGAACAAAGGTAACTGCAGAAGGCCAATTGGCCCATACGAGACAGCTCCTATTTATAACCATCCTATCCCATTCATATACATGTCCAACCCACTTTTGAAACAATCAAAGAACCCCACCTCCACTACGTTATGCAGTAATTGGTTTCATAAATTAACAACCCTGTTACCGAACCAGTATTTACCCAGGTCTTTCCTAAATCTAAACTTATCCAATTTACACCCATTGTTTCGTGTTCTGCCTTGATGCTTACCCAATAGTAAAAGAACACTGCTTTCCAAAGCGGTGGGTTTTCTGATGGAAGAAAATGTAGGTCTGTGGAGATGCGTCTAACCGCCCAACCTGCGCGCGCAACAGCCAGTGTTTATATAAGCTATGCCCGCGGTCTGGTGGGTTTACGGGCTCACCATAGCCCGTGCTACATGTACACTTCGTCCTGAGTAGCTAAATAACAACAACAACAACGTCTGGCGGGTCCCTGTTCCCGCCACGGACGCAGCTGCTTCACTTTCAATTACTAACTATAGATGTAACTATTAATTGTAATTGATTTAATACTCTATCATTATAATGATTATTCATTATAATTATTCTTTACTACTTTATTGTTATGCATTACAGTCACTAATTATTTATCATTCACCCTAATTAGCTATTTGATACATTAAAATTATTGCTTATCATTATACTATTTATTATTATTATATTATTATTATTATATAATAATAATTATTTATTAATTTATTATTTACTATTATAAAATAAACAAGTCCCCACTCTGAGCGCGTTTTCTTCCAACCTCAGAAATTGGTAAAGACTTCGTGAGTCGCATTCCGGGGAAAATTAGGATTAAGGACTTGCCGAGAATGTAAGAACTCTTGTATATATAAATCAATAAATAAAAATATAAATAAATAAATAAAAACATCGTTAATTAGAACATAAGAATGAAGGTAACTGCAGAAGGCCAATTAGCCCATACGAGGCAGTTCATATTTATATCCACCCAATCTCATACACACACATGTCTAACCTACGCTTGAAACAATCAAGGGATCCTACTTTTAATTATTCAAACTATTGTTGGTGACCTAAATAATGAATCCTGGTGGAGTTGAAGACCCGGATAGTTTACCACCAGTTACTGTTAACAGATCCTCGGCGTTGATCTCAGCAAAGCTCGCGTCTCCCACTCAGTCACGTTAAGCAATGCTTACTACGGTCAATAACTGGATGGGTGACCATGCAGACAATTATATCTAGGCCACAGCTAGTGGCCCCGGGAGAGCCTCGCACCCTGTACCGGTCTCCCTCCCCGGTACACGGTATCCTCCACCCATACATTAACACCTGTAAACTGTTACCTGTAATAACCTGCACATTCATACTTGTGTGACGTCAACAACAACAACAGGTGTTGATGCATCCACCACAACCTCAGTCACTGTGATAACCATAGGTAGGACCTGTGGGTAGGTGTGTGTGTGTGTAAACAGAAAAGTGTTTGCAGTTTGATACAAATACTGCGGCAAAGGAAGTTAATTTTTTAATTAGTGAGGGAGAGTAGTGAATGGCGGAGGCCGGAGCCGCGTGCAGGGGTCAGGACAAGGTACACAACAGCCAGCTGGGTGCAAGTTTGGCGGGAGTAAGTTACCTTCATAATTCTTTTTTCCTCAAAGCCTGTATGTTTATGTACACATTGAGGTTCATTCGAGGTTTTCCCGAGGTCAATCTGGAAGCCTTTCCCAGGATGCAACCCCACAACAGTTGACTGTCTTTTGGAAACTCATTTACCGCTAGGTGAATAGAGGCATTAGGTTAAAGAAACATGTCCAATCATTTCTGTCCCGCACGGGAATTTAATCCGGTATCCAGGAGTGTAAGTCGCCAACTGTGCTATGAGAGCCATGTCCATTAGCCAGACTAGTGCCACAATGTCGGGGGGACGTGCACCTCACTCGCTTAGGGAGGTAAGGCACCCTAGGGGCTGACTAGTAACTGGATGGGTGACTGCATGGGCAGCTTTAGCAAAGTGCACCTTGGTAAACTGGATACTGTAGTGTTATTATATAATTCGACCTTGGGCTGGGGGACCTCTGTATAAGTGAACTTTTATGTGATGTGAAGCCAGGTTATGCAAAATGTTAAGCCAGGTTATACATAAATATGCTGTACTGTACTGAATTTTGTAACTAGTTTATCAAGATTGTAACTTGCTTAGCTAAATGAATTGTGGGGTTCAGTCCCTGAGCCCATTATGTGCCTCTGTAACCCTTTCCACTACCGCCCACAAGATGGGTATGGGGTGCATAATTAATGAACTAAACTAACATAAAATGAAGACTGAGCTGTTTGCATTGTTGATTTAATGCATCACCTATTTATGTTTTAATTTGTTATAAAATCTCCTTATTTCTGAGTAAAAATTACATTTTATTGCAATACTATATACATAAATTTCCAGTTTCAGAGGTGCATAGTACAGTATTATGTTTCATTTAGCTATTTATTTACATCATTTTAAGTAGACTTGGGTAAGCCTGCAAACCTTCAACTAGTGCTAGGATGACTGGCCAATTCTGTTATTATTTTGTGCTCTTCAAAATGGGTTAATGACAATTTTTAAACAGCAAATAATTTTGTTTTGTTAAACTTGTGTAGAAACCAAATTCCGGTAGTCTATCTGTGGGCAGAAAGTTGTGGGATACAGCCATTAACAAACCAGTGACTTGCAAGTTGATTGCTTTGTCCATAAGTTATCATTTTAAAGACTCCTTATTTGATAACTTAGTTGAGCCATACAGACTATGCCCCATACATTACTAATGTATTTCATGGGTTAGGTTAGGACTACAGTATATTTAAAAGCTATATCCAAATCATCAGTTGTATGAAGTGACCCGAATAATATCTGAAGAAGAGTGCCACTGTTCTGTGCACGTTTGGGAGTGAAACATAAAAGAATCTTACATGGTGTTTTAAGGAAACTTGTAAACTCTGGAGTTACGAAAGATTCTGCTAAATAATGATCCTTTACCTAACTCGGTGAGTAAGGCCATGTTAGATATGGGTCAATGAGATGCTGCAATCTATGAACTCGTATCTTAAAAAGTTCATTATTCAAATGATGTTTCTACTTTTGCCGTACTTTGCTTTTTCTGATTTGGTATGTTTGATATACTGTACAGGTGTATTTACTCTAGGGTGGTAACTGAATTTCCATATACAAATCACCATGGAGAGACATCTGTATGGAGACAATTTGTAGAGATTGTGTCATTTGCAGTGATAAACCACATCAAAAAGGGAAAACAAATTTACTTCATTACAGAGTGAAGTGCAAACCTAGATTGGTTTATCCCTACTGAGCCTATTGATTGTGAGTGTATTGAATATAGGCTAATGAGGCACAATGATGACACTTCATAAAATTCTACCTACACTGTATTTTCATAAGTAAGATTTTAAAACATAGATTAGTTTTCACCCTCTTTGATTAAATCTATAAAGTACTGTATATGGTACGTACAGTAATAACTACAGTATTTTTATTGTAGCTAGTATATATTGTCAATGCAAATCTTAAGCTATGATAAAAAATAAATGCCAGCCCATTTTGGTCAAAAAAAAAAAAAAATGCATGCTGCACATATTGGTGCTCGTATTTTGCAACACAAGAAATAGCTTCGGATTCAACTGACATTTTAAAGGAATTTATTTTGTACAAATGGGAGTACACAATGAGTTAAGATAAACTGCTAGGTTTTTATAAGCTGGTTCAGATAGTACTATACCATGCCTGCATGTATGGACTGTGTGGGTCATCTATCCAGTTCCTACCCAATCCAAAAACATAATTTTCAGTGATTCCAAGTCTGTTCTTCAAACACTTGAAGATTGACAGCAAGAACCTTATAATAACAATTTAAATAATGTGCTCACTGCAGAATAAAGAGTTTAAAATCTTTTGTATGGATACTGTACCATCTCACTTAAATATAACTCATCATAATAACACAGACAATTTGGCCAAATTAGCAGGCAACAAAGATGAAGTTATATTAAACCTAGGTATCCATCTTTTTTTTGTTAAGACAACAGTACACCTACAGTATATTGTTCCAAGCATACGGGTCTAATAGAGAAATTACTAACTTTCGAGGGCCTGAAAGCACCATTATAAAAAGCTATGACTTATTTAGATTTGAAACCTATGTATATGAGCAGCACAAAATGTGCACCAGAAAGTGTGGTTGCCAGGATCAGGTTGGGTTACCGTCACCTGTGACAGGTGGCTACTGGTGACGAACATCCCAATCCTGAGCACTCCAGGTGCAAACTCAGTGACCAGTAACTGTGTTATGATCTCACACACTACATTATTGACTGTCCAGTTATTAGACCTTTCAGTAAGGTCTAATGACTGGGCATTCAATAATGTAGTGTGATTAATAAAGTGATTACAAAGCTCCAGGTACCTCCCAGCATAAGGTACCTCGAGCACTGCAATCACTTTATTAATTCTCATATTCTTGAGGATATCGTTATAATGCAACCAAAATTTGCTAGTGCAGACTATTGTAGAAACAGTCCTGCAAAAGAACTCTATCATCATTACCTAACCTCAGAACTTTACATTTATCAGCATTAAACTGCATCTGCCAATCCTTTGACCATTTCAAAACCCTATCTAGATCAACTTGAAGTGATAGTGAGTCCTCCTCCGAATTAATTTCCCTACCGATTTTCGTATCATCGGCAAATTTGCAAATGTTGCTACTCAAACCTGAATCTAAATCATTTATATATATTATAAACAACAGAGGTCCCAGGACAGAGCCTTGAGGCACTCCACTTACAACATTTTCCCACTCTGACTTGATTCCATTTATACTAACTCTCTGTTTCCTTTGGTATAGCCATGCCCTAATCCAGCTTAATATAGCACCCCCAATACCATGAGACTCTATTTTTTTAATCAGTCTTTCATGTGGCACTGTATCAAAAGCTTTGCTAAAGTCAAGGTATACAACATCGCAATCCTTACCACTATCAACTGCCTCAACAATGCTAGAATAAAAAGATAACAAATTTGTTAAACATGAACGGCCATTTATAAAACCATGTTGCGACTCAATTATTAATTTATGTTTTTCAAGATGAAGACGAATTTTATTTGCTATTATAGATTCGAGTAACTTTCCCACAATAGACGTTAGGCTAATTGGTCGATAGTTAGACGCAAGTGATCTATCTCCTTTCTTAAAAACTGGTATCACATTAGCAACTTTCCAAAACTCTGGCACTCTGCCTGACTCTATTGATTTATTAAATATGGTTGACAGTGGGTCACAAAGCTCCTCTTTGCATTCTTTAAGCACCCTAGCAAACACTTCATCCGGCCCTGGGGATTTGTTTGGTTTGAGTTTTACTATTTGTTTAAGAACATCCTCCCTGGTAACTGCTAAACTCGTCAACCTGTCCTCGTCCCCACCCACATAGACTTGTTCGGCTGAAGGCATATTGTTAAGTTCCTCTTTAGTAAATACAGATACAAAATATTTATTAAAAATACTACTCATCTCTTCATCACTATCTGTTATTTGACCTGTCTCAGTTTTTAATGGACCTATCCTTTCCCTAGTCTTAGTACGATATAACTGAAAAAACCCTTTAGGATTTGTCTTTGCTTGCCCTGCTATGCGAACTTCATAGTTTCTTTTTGCTTTCCTTATCTCTTTTTTAACATTTCTAACCAGTTGTACGAATTCCTGTTCTAAAGTGACCTCCCCATTTTTAATCCTTTTGTACCAAGCTCTCTTTTTACCTATAAGGTTCTTCAAATTCTTTGTTATCCACTTTGGGTCATTAGTATACGATCTATTCAATTTGTATGGTATACTACGTTCCTGTGCTTTGTTTAGAATATTCTTAAATAAGTTATATATTGAATCCACATCGAAATCCCCATTTAAGTCACCTATCGCTGGGTTCATGTCTCGCTCCAAGACCGGCCCACACCCCATACCCAAGCCTTTCCAATCAATTTGACCCAAAAAATTTCTTAGGCTATTAAAATCAGCTTTTCGAAAATCTGGCACTGGACTTTCAGTATCATTGCAACTTCATTCACTCTGGTGTTCTTGTAATATCCTCATAATGTATCCAAAGTTTGCCAGTGCAGATTACCGATCACATGGCCCTATATGATGGGATCTTTTAACATTTATGTAGCTAGCTCTTGATACACTGTATTCCCCCTTTATATAGTCCATGGTAGGTGCATAAATGCAGATGTGCCTAAATATGTTAAAAAAAAAAATCAGATTTTGCTGCCTCTGTTATGTAACAGGCTGTCACAGCCAGACAGTCATAGCCAGTCACAGGCAGCCAGAGCCAGTCACAGGCACAGTAGATGGAAACTGGAGATGCAAGTGAGTCATGCAGACATCACTTGTCAATAAAGGGAATAGGTTAAATCCAGAAGTCGTTGAAGTTAATTCGATTCAAAATTTTAAATGTAAATATGATAAAAGCATGAGAAATGATTCATTGCATTAATCTAAAAACATTTGGAAGGCGGGGCTAGAAGCCTAGCTTGACTCTGCAAGCACGTCCAAGTGAATACAGCCAGTCAGCCAGTCACAGCCAGTCAGGCATTCACAGTTAGTTGCAACCAGTTAGTCATTTACATTCAGTCAGGCATTTTAGTGTGCACTTGATCTGCATCACACAGATGTACAGTACAGTATTGTGTTTAGAATCTTAGTACTGTACTATAATGGTAGTGTACTTAATTTTTTGTACTATTTTCATTCTGAATGCACAGTACAGTGTGAAGTTGTTACATTATCATGCAAAATGCTTAAATGCTGTACTAGTGCAATGTCTGGTTGGCCTGGATACAGTTGCAAATATTGTACTGTATAGCACCTTGCCCCATGGGCCAGTACCGAAATAGCATAATGACCCTATTGGCAGACACTGCATGTTTTGGCTGCTGTGTAGTACTTAGTTATAATTTTTTATTATTGCATAATAATTTCTGACAGCTCAAAATTTAACCCAGATTACTAGTCTGGATAACATTTTCAATCTCGATGGAAGCATAAGACACCAAGCTGAGCCCATAACAGTAAAGTCATTTATAGGTCAAGACAGCTAACAAGGTTATGATCTTGTTAGCTGTGTTTATTAACCAATTTGCTAGGAGTCTGCCTGCCATTTTGTTATGTACTGTATGTTAATGAATATTTCTGCCAAGTCCTGCCTCCTGATCCTTTAATCAGTGTTCTTTCTTAAGATAATTTAATGTTTATTATTTTTAAGATAAAAATACTTAAACTAATTTATTAAGTATTACTAATGTTACAGAGCATCAGAAAATATTAAATTTCAGATTGGGATGAGTTCTGTAACAGACAGATCAATTGAACCTGAGAAATGCAGCAAGCAGGGTAATTCTTCCCATCACGATAGTGGTGGCGATGGTGTAGAGGGAGGTCCATCCACACGTACGTCTTGTCAATCACCAACATTGTTTGATAATCTTGAAGATGCTTCTCAAAAAAGGAAGGCAGTCAACCATGAACTGCATAGAGATAGTACATTTTCTTTGTATGCGAAGAAATATAGCCATCTCACACAGGGAAATGGTTGTAGTGAAGAACTGGAAGGCCAGGCTACAAAATCTGCAGTTTGGTCTGCACTCTCTTCACTTCAAGAAATTTCAAATACAGCAAAGGGATCACTAGTAAATAGGTAAGTACTATACATATAAATTCTTGTATTTGTATGGTTTGAGAACTGTTTTGAAACTTGCATTAAACCTTTTGTAAACATTAAGTTTTGTCTTATAAGGAATTACTCTCTTAAAAAGTCAGAAATTAATTTTATATACCAGTATGTAGTAGAGTATGCATATGTATACTGGGTATATGAAATGTTTGATTTTTTCAGGAATGATAACAAAAATGGAGAAGAATTAGCTTCTACATCTTCAGTAGGACCATCAGCTTGCCATGGAGGGCAAAATTGTGTGAAATTTCTCTCGGCATCTAATGAAGACTCGGACATCTCTCTTTTGGCAAAATTAGACTTGGCCCAGGGTTTGGCATCTCCCACAAGGCCACATCAGATCTTTCAGTGCCATTCAGGTTCTCAGAATCTGCAAATGCAGTGTATGCAGGAAGGTGGAGTTGAAATTAAAAAAGAGATTTTATATAATTATACTGATGAGAATGGAATTGATAAAGATTTGTACAGCAACACTCTTAGAGAGAGAATGCCCAACATTCAGTTCAACAACAGCCCAACATCAGAACAAAATAATGATAACCATTATTTGGGTGCAAATGAAGGATGTCAACAAGATGATTTTGATAGTGAATGTCATGATTTTAAATCTGAGAATATTAATGCATTCTCAAATAATTGTGCAGCCACAATCCACTCAGATTCTGAGGCATTACTGTCAGGTGAAACTTCAAGGTTGTCTATTACTTTACCAGTATCTTCAGGTATTCCATCTTCAGTCAGGCCTTTAGTGAAAATTAATAATGTGCAAGAATACTCTGTACAAAATAAAATGTGCACTCAAAAACACCTAAATGAAGAAACTTTTCCACCTGTAGAAGTATTGATACAGAAAGAATACTTGGAGCGTGAGAAGAGAGTGCTTCTTGAACAGAGTGAGTGCATTGAACTTCAAAGACTCAATATTCTCTGCAGTTTTTCAGGTGACAGTGGTAACTGCTCTAAGCTTTTGGAAGTAAATGAATTGCTGAAAACAGAAATGAAAGAAAAAATGTCTGAAATTAATAATAAATTAATAAAACTGAATAAAAGGCTCAGTCTGGAGGGCAGACCAGATACTGTTGCATCTGATTATAAAACTGTAAAATGTCCAAAATTTGCATCTAATACAAGAATAATAGCAGGAGGTAGAGGATTTGAATTCAGTAACAGTCAAAGGCATATGGATTTGCATCCTGTAGCAACTGTTAGGGATAATGTTGCTGAGAGAAATGACCCATTGCTCAAGAGTTCCTCTACAGTAGAGCTCATCCCAAGAAGTTACTTTTTCCGTCCTAATTGTAAAAGAAAGTGGACTGATGATGAAAGTGCTAACATGAATACCGACTACACAGTTGTTAATGATAATATTGGAAACTTGCATGAAAGACGAAGTAAGAAAATAAGAAAGGATCTTGGCAATGCAAGACGAACGCCTGTTTTGAAAGAGGAATTTCTTCAGAGAGCTGCTCAAGTAAACTGGTGCAGACTGTGTAATATGTTCTTTCCCTCAATTGTTAGCTATGTGGACCATCTAGCTACCTTGGAACACTTGCAAAGAAGAAAGGTAATGTATGCTATATACTTGAACGAGCAGTTACAGTACTGTATGTAGGTGTTAGGATGTAAAGGGCAACCCGGGTGTGTTAAATACTTGTTGTAATTACTGTATTTACTGTCTTGGATTTAATACAGTAATTGAAAGGAATTTAGTTCAGAGTTGCTCTTATGTGCTTTAAGAATTTGCCTGAATTTACAGATGCTGTGGGTTTTGTATGTATGCACACTGGGAGAGTGTTTTAAGGCATTAGTTTAGTGAGATTTGGTATACAGTATGTACTTATGACTACAATTACTCATGTTTATAAAATCAATACTGTCTGTTAAATATTTCTTTCATCCTTTTACTTGTGACAGATAAATGATGGAAGCTGGCTAAGAAAGGTTCCTCAAGTGGAATCAAAACATATTAAGCAAGAAGAGCCACAGGATGTGTATGGTATGTTTATGTAAACATTTGTATTATAAAGTCTAAATAAAAATTGCTTTGAATTTAAGCTGTGTTGAAGCATTCATTTAAATTTTCTTTACACTTTAGCTGAGGATAATAAATAAAATGTTGTGACAGTTGTTCAGTAAACTTATTTTTCACAAAATTTAGGAATGAAATATTAATGTCAAAGTTCCTGCTTATAACTGTTGCTGTTGAAGACTGTTAACATGGTGGTCTGTGGCTCCATATACTGTAGCTTTTCTGCTCAAGATCATCCAGAAAGTTTATTTTTTATTCTGAATACAGAATTCATTTTAAATGGAAATATCATTATTTTAAATCCTGAGGATAATGCATCTTATAATAAGTTACTTTTCCACATTAGGTATCCTTAGGTATACTTTTCTCAAGTCTAATCATATTTGTTCTCAATTCTTGGTCTTTAGGTTTGTTATAGTATTGAAAATTATCCATCGTATTGATCTGAAACTTAAAAATGCTGGTGATTGAACCCAAAAATATGAATGCCATTGAAATTTAAATATTTTGTAACCGTTTAATTTTTCTTTTTATATAATCTAGCTGTTGACAAGATATATTTTATATAATATAGCTGTTGACAAGTTGGTTATGCATGCAAACTATCCTTAAAACAAAGGATTCCATTAAATTTCACAGCAATAATTTTCTCCACGATTATTAATGAAGTGTACATTTTATGACTCGGAACTTATTACTGTATATTCAAGCTTTTCTGTAAGGGTTACTCTTGCATCCAGAGTACAAGAGTACACTATATAGAATGAAAGATACCCCTAAAATCTATTTGTGCAGTGAAAGAGTTGTGCTCTTTTACCTTTTGAGACTAAATGGTTTTCAAACCAGTAAACAATTGTGCTTCTAGACATCCACACACTTTCTTGACCCTATAAATGTGAGGAAGAGAAGGTGCACTCTGTGTTTGGCACTTTGATATCTGCCTTCCTGATGCTTGTCCATCTAGGTTGGGATCTGTGTACCTGGATGTCTCTCCAGGGTCACAGTGCTCATCCCCAAAGCTTCTGGCTCCAATCACTCTAGTTTATATTTCCATGGCTCTTCTTGCTTAAGGAATCAACCAAGTGGTATAGTTCAGAAATAAGGCTTTTTACCCAATTTACCTGATTTTACCCAAGAGCCACTAACACTAGTAGCCTTGACGAGGACAGGAAGCCAGCAGCTTGTCAAAGGTCCCCCCATTTGCCCACATGCTTTGAGTGTAGTTGAAGGGCTTCTTGAATAGGCCACTCAGTTGGTCACAATTTTCCCTGGGCTGTGCTCTCTGGCATTTGATTTAGGTTAAATATGAGGGTGGCAGCTGCTTAATATTGTACTGTTAATATAAGTGCTACTATCTGGCTGGGATCTGGGATAGAATTCAGGCAGGCCAGCTAGCAATTAGCAGATGCATGAGGTGTATTAAGAGGTTTGAGACTCGCTTGGAGGGCGTTTTGAGTGTGAATGACTGAGTTTTCTAGTCATCCCATGCTGAATAGAGAGATCTCCAGTGTCTCCCTTCAACTAATGACTTTGGGGAATGGGAAGTCCGAAAATATCCTTGTTACATCAGTAAGTAATTATTGATTTAGCATGGCTGTTGTATGAACCTCTTTGGGAGAGCAAGACATTGCTGAGGGAAGCAACCAAATGGCCCACTCTAAAAAAAAGTGTTTTCAAACACTTATGTTGTTATTTTTGTAATTATATTTTTTATACATCAAAAACAATTATTTAACAATAATTATGTATCGACTATTCATAATTGCAAAAAATCTGTAAATAAGTATAATGGTATTTGCAAAATATTATACAGTACAATATTCGCAAAACTACAAAATGTAAAAATAAATGTTTAAAACCCTCAACACTAATAGAATTTTATACAGGTATTTGCATTTCATATTAAACATTGTAATAAAAAAAATGTGATGTCCCATTTCAGGTGTTGAGTATCTTGACTGTGTTCCTCTGTTCTTCTGTAACCTTTGTGAGGTGTTCATCTGGGACAGAGAAGAAGTGATGTTTCATCCCAGCTGCTCACAGCATGTGGAGAACTTCAAGGTTAGTGCTAGATATTTGTCATTTTATTTGCCTTTAATTAAGGTCAAAGGCATTAGGCAACTTGAGTAAAATTGGACAAGCATTTCCCACAGTGGATTGTCATAGTTTTTAAATTTAAAATTAGGCAAATATTCTACACCTGCTGATGACAATAAATATCCCTACAATTTTAGAAACAACTTTGAAATTGTCAGTTTACAATCCAATTGAAGGTTGTGATTACTTCATTGCTAATGAGTTTAGTAACATGATATGAAAAGATTACATTAAAATTGCCACCGGTGAAACACAAAATTATTGGCAATTTTCAAGGTATTGGACACACACCAACATTTCATCTGATTGTGATGAAGGCATTATAGGATTCTGCTTACCTAGAAACAGTGTTATTAAGTCTGTACCATATTTCATATAGCCTTGTTATTCAAAAATATGTGTTAAGAAATTGTGTACAACTGGCAAGTTTTGTTTTGGGAACTCATACTTTTATTTCATCCTTATTCACCTGTAAGCCTAGGAGTTTGTATCAGGGGTTGCTTGCCGCAACTCATGTACATAATCCCTGTCTTTGCATAGTTCATTGTTTGCTGTAGCATAAATGTGATCAGTTATACTTCATGAAAATTACTATAAAACGTATTTTGTTTACAGAGGCATGTGTCAGAAAATGTTCAGCGTGAATTAAACTTCTTCCAGAGAAAGACTGCTGCATATAAGAATTATTGTGAAGAACAAGAATTGGAAAGTGATGCAACTAACAAAGAAAATGAGATACCCCCAGAGCATCATCTTGGATCTGACAGCTTTATTACTGCAAATACATTAAGTTCATCACTTAATCAAAATGTCATAAGAACTTCAGAAGCAGAATTTCTTAGACCATTAAAGGATAAAGGAACAGTCCCCAAAGCTGTGTCTATAGCAACTGAAACAATTGGTAGAACTGACGTCAACACAAACGCGGCTAGTTTTCAAGTCGGCATTAAAGAGAGTGCAGCTGAGGCTAAAGAATACACAGCTGCAGTGTGTTTGCCTTCAGCCAATGTGCTCAACAGATCAGACATTTCTGTCATCGCAACAGATATGAAAAGACCTGAGGAGGCTGATGAAAGTATAACCCAAAGTTTGTCTTGTTTGACAAAAGATGCAACTAATAATAAAGTCGATACAAGACTTGGCTCATCCTCTGTGGGAGACATAACAAATCCTGTAATATCTCATGAATGTACCTCCCAAAGTTTCACTGAAAGAATGTTACCACTAGCAAATACTTTTGTTTGTAATTTAAACAAGGAAGTAGACTCTTCAGCACTAGCAAAGAAAAATCTGATTGTGAAGCCTCATGAAACTATTGTTACAACATGTTCCCTTCCTGGCAATGACAACGTCTCCAGTGTATATTCCACAAGAGGTACCCTTTGTCCTGTACCAAGCCTAAGAGAAGTGGTAAAATATGAAGGGGATACATTTAACTCTAATTTAAGTGATTCAGACAAATTAGAATTAGTTGAAAGCACTGAGGAAAATACTGTTTCATATTCTTCAGTTAGCCATGACAGTGTTGAAGAGGTATTAAAATCTGAAAATACTTTAACAGTTTCAACACCAGTTACTGAAGTTGTTAAAGATGAAATGTATCAGCCTGAGGACCAAATGGATTCAGTACAAACAGATAATTTTTCCGAAGGTGTGGTAGTAGTCAAGGAGGAGACAACTGCTATTAGAGCAACCAGCGATGTGACTACTAATGAAGAAGATTCTATATCTTGCATTCCTAATTTTGGAAATAATATAGTATTAAAAAATGAGCTTGATTCTCATATCATTGCTAGTAACAGTTTGGAAAAGGTTGGAAGTGGTAATAGCAAGGCAAAAGGTACTGTAGTAAACATAGAGCCATGTAAAGGTTCAGAAGATGAAGAGAACACTCTTCCTGCTTCAGCAGAGATTAATAGAGTTTCTAGCACTTCAATAAATGCAATGAAAAGGAAAAAGGTTCAAAGAATAAAGAGGGTGCTGCACACTGAGCCCAGTACTCATTTTTCTTTTCAACCTAGAGATACCAGGGTTGAAGAGGATATGGAAAGTTTAAGAAATTTAATGTCAACTGCAGAGAATTCTCAAGTGTTGCAAGCTTCCAAATTGCCAAAAGATTCCTTGGTTACATCCAGTGTTAGTGTAAGAAGGCCTAACAATGAGGGTTGTGAGAATATTAGAATATTAAGGGTTTTGGGAAAACCTTACAGAAAACCTAAAAAGTTCATTAGATTTGAAGATGATCTACGTTTGGTTTGTGAAAATGTTAAACCTGAGATACTTTCACCGGAAAAATCCAGCACTGCTCATTCCCTTCAACCTATTAGGCAAAATGTGGAAGCACTAGAAAGGTTGTCAAATTCAGCAGAGAAAGCAGATGCAGACAAAAATAAGATTTCCTCCAAAGCAACGTGTAAATTTATACAAATAATAAAAAGTGCTTCTAAGACACCTTCATGTGAAGTGTCATTAAACCAATTGAAGGCACCTGCCAGTTCAGTGATTATCAAAAGAGCAGAATGTCAGTCGGCCAAGGTCACTCCACCTACATCAAAAATTATTACCATAACTAATGCCAATTGTAGTGAAGGCAACATTTATGCACACTCAGTAGACACTACTGAAAATAATGCCAATTTTCCAGTCAGTAAGGTTAAGGTTTCAATGGTCAATAATATTGAGGCTTTACCAGTCAGTAAGCTGGTTGAGACTTTAGTGACCCCGAAGAAAAACTTGGATGCACTGTCAGTTGCTTACAAGTGTGATAATGTAAGTAGCACAAGCAAAAATAAAACTGCTGAAAGAAGTGATGTTGAAGAACTGATAAGTAATGCAGAGACAGAAGATAAACCAAATCATTCTTATCTTGACACTCTAAAACGTTCAGGGGCCATACAGTTATCTCATCAGCCAGTTGCAATTAGTGGTAATTTGAGATTAGCAAAGAGAGTTCAACCTGATAATTTGGTCACTTGTGGCTCTACCCACAATATCCAAAATGCTGACCCTTCTGCAGTGTGTCATCGTACAGTAAAGACAAGTAGTGATACGTCACAAAACACAAATACAGAAAAGACAAGTAGTGATGTATCGCAAAACACACACACTGAAAAGACAAGTAGTGTTATATCACAAAAAATACACACAGAAAAGAATGGGCCAAACAATGACCCTTGTCACCACGAGAACGTGAACACTTCTCCCTTAAAACGACCCAGAATTTCTTTGAGCGAGTATCGAAAGCGAATATCTGGTTCTAAAAACTTCAAAAGTAAATTATCCAAGGGATTTAGATCTGCCTTGGGTGAATATCGGAAAGCAAATAATAAAAAGGTAGAAAACATCCTGAAAAAAAATTATCAAGAATTACAAAGACTAAACCAGGGCACTTCAGACCACAACAGTTGCCATCTTCACTCTGAAGAGGAATCTGAGTCTAATAATTTGTAAGTCCTTCCTTTTTCCTTGAAGTAGTCATAAGGTAAAAACTGAATAGGAGCCTGAATTTCCTTAAACACAGATTGTGTTTAAGGAAATAAAAGTTGTTAGGCAAAATGGTAAATAATTTTTTTTATTGTTGTTTAAAAAGCAGCAGCAGAGTCCTATTGTTTTTAAATTTATCTTTCAAATGAAGTAGATCTCAATAGAGCTAAATAAAAGTAGATCAGAGTCCATCACATGTGAAATAACTGCCTAGTAAAACCAGTTTCCTGCTTGTGTACAAATAGCCATCCAACCACTGCTACTTCTACTCCATGTACAAATAACCATCCAACCATTGCTACTTCCACTCCATGTACAAATAACTATACAACCACTGCTACTTCTACTTCATGTACAAATAACCACCCAACCATTACTACTTCCACTCCATGTACAAATAACCATCTAATCACTGCTACTTCTACTCATGTACAAATAACCATCTAACCACTGATACTTCCACTCATGTACAAATAACCATACAACCACTGCTACTTCATGTACCTGTCTTTGCGAGTGTTCCAAGGTAGCTAGATGGTCCACATAGCTAACAATTGAGGGAAAGGACATACAGTACTACATAATCTGCACCAGTTTACTTTAGCAGCTCTCTGAAGAAATTCCTCTTTCAAGACAGATATTCGTCTTGCATTGCCAAGGTCCTTTCTTATTTCCTTACTTTTTCTTTGGTGCAAATTTCTGTTATCATTATTACCGATAGTGTAGTTTGTATTCTTGTTCCCATTTTCATCATCGGTCGTCTATCTTTTACAACTGGCACAGAAACTGTAGACTGTAGAGGGACTATTGAGCAATGGGTCATTTTTCTCAGCAACAGCATCCATAACAGTTGCTATAGGATTCAAGTCTATATGCTTTTGTCTGTTGCTATATTCACATCCTCTACCTTCTGCTACTAATCTTGTCAGATGTAAACTTTGGACATTTTATAATTTTATAGCCAGATGCAACAGTATCTACTGTAAAAAGCCACCATAAAGCTTGTGTGCTGCTTTATGTTGGCTTGAGTAACCTATAATGCAGTGGTTAACACAGTTGGCTCGCAACTGACTGAACCCAAGGTTGGTTCCCAGGCAGGGTGAGACATTTGAGCATGTTTCTTTAAACCTGATACCTATGTTTCCCTAGCAGTAAATAGGTATCCAAGAGTAGGTAACTGTTGGGAGGTGTGTCTTGGGGAAAGGTTAGTCATTGGAGACCTCATTAAGCTTAAAAGGCTTCGGCTACCTGATAGAAAGAGACCGGAGTTATGTGGGAGTATTACCACAGCTATGTAATGTCTCAGTGGTTACTCGTGCATGCATGTACGGAGTCATGAGGCAGGTCAGAGGAGACTCGGTTAATGAATTTAATCCATTCTGGCACCGAGCTCGTCATGTGAAACGCTCGTCTTGCGAAACGAATTTCCCCATTTAAAATAATGGAAATACTGTACAATGAATCCGTTCCACCCCCGAAAAACTCTTGGAAACGAAAAAACTGTAGTAGGAAGTTGTCATGGAAGGCAAGTGGTGTCAGTGGTGGAAGTTGTCAGGGAAGGCAGGGAGTGATAGTAGGGTCAAGGGAAGCTGGTGGTGGAAGTGGTCAGGGAAGGCAGGTGGTGTCGGTGGAGGTGTGCTCTGGACGTGAGTTATCATCAAATTGGCAACACGTGTCTAGTGCCTCAATGCTTCACTCACTGCCTGCTTCTCAATAAATTAACTGAGAAAATGTTACCATTTCAGTTGTTTGTAACACATCACTCTATCATATCCCATAGTCAAAATGAAGAATTCATAATAAATGGGAGTGTCAGTGGTGAGGGGAATGTATTATGGTGGGTAGGAAAACTGCTAGCCCCTACCCCAGTCAACATTTTTAGGGAGTGTCGGGCATGTGAGTCGAGATGCACCATCCCCCACCACTGCTACCACCAGACTTCTGACACCATCCCCTACCACTGACACCACCCCCTAATATCAATTGAAATTTTATGATGTACACCGTCGTCGAAGGTGTCCGAGAATTTGCGAGAACCAGAATGGGAAAGCTAGGAAGCACCACATGGTTTTCTTGTTGACCAAGCGGAAGCTCGTCAATCGAGACAAATTTTCTGCAAGTGGCTCGCTCGTTACCAGAAATGCTTGTAGATGGGGCTGCTCATCACCTGAGGTTCCACTGTACATGAAACTACCACCCCCACAAATACAATCACCACATGAAAAATTCAAGTACAACCATCTCTTTATCCACAACTACCATCACTCTAAATACAATGATTACAAATACAACCACCACCACCACCACCTTACAACTTTTAATACAGTGACCACAAATACAACTATCGCCACCTATAACTATAAATAGTGATGAACGGTGACTACAAATGCCACAAGTACAACTGCCATAACCACTACAATCACCAATACAAACAATGCAAGCACCACCACATCCACTGCTTCAACTACAACCACAAAATACAAGACAAACATTATTACCACCACGCATACAATCAAAATACTGTACAACAACAGCCACCTATTCAACAACAGCCACCACTGCAGCCACAACAACAGTTATTGCCACAACCACTAGTATAAGCATCACAGCAATACAAATCCACTATATTAACTACTGTACAGTCACCACTACAATCACCACATCCACTACAGTCACCACCACATCCACTACAGTCACCACCACATCCACTACAGTCACCACCACCACCACATCCACTACGGTCACCACCACCACCACCACATCCATTACAGTCACCACCACCACCACCATATCCATTACAGTCACCACCACCACCACCATATCCATTACAGTCACCACCACCACCACCATATCCATTACAGTCACCACCACCACCATGTCCATTACAGTCACCACCACCACCACCACCATATCCATTACAGTCACCACCACCACCATATCCATTACAGTCACCACCACCATGTCCATTACAGTCACCACCACCACCACCATATCCATTACAGTCACCACCACCACCACCACCATATCCATTACAGTCACCACCACCACCACCATATCCACTACAGTCACCACCACCACCACCATATCCACTACAGTCACCACCACCACCACCATATCCACTACAGTCACCACCACCACCACCACCATATCCACTACAGTCACCACCACCACCACCATATCCATTACAGTCACCACCACCACCACCACCATATCCATTACAGTCACCACCACCACCACCACCATATCCATTACAGTCACCACCACCACCATATCCATTACAGTCACCACCACCACCACCATATCCACTACAGTCACCACCACCACCACCATATCCACTACAGTCACCACCACCACCACCACCATATCCACTACAGTCACCACCACCACCACCACCATATCCACTACAGTCACCACCACCACCATATCCACTACAGTCACCACCACCACCATATCCACTACAGTCACCACCACCACCACCACCATATCCACTACAGTCACCACCACCACCACCACCATATCCACTACAGTCACCACCACCATATCCACTACAGTCACCACCATCACCACCATATCCACTACAGTCACTACCACCACCACCATATCCACTACAGTCACCACCACCACCACCATATCCACTACAGTCACCACCACCACCACATCCACTACAGTCACCCCCGCCATCACCACATCCACTTCAGTCACCACTGCCACCACATTCACTAGTCACCAACACCATCACCCTCCACTACACCTCCCTCTAGTTGTTATTCTTTTAACTGCTTATGCTCCTCATACTTGGTATTTACAACACCCTGTTGTCAATATCCAACGCTTTCCTGTAATCACTGCATTACCCTCTTTTTATCCTCTTGAGTGACAGCAATACATCTAAATATACACTACAGTATCTAGTTTTGATTTATTCTTTATAAACTATTGTTCATGTGTTAATTTATTTTTTGTCAGAAGTTCTTCCTGCCAGAATGAGAAAAATATCCTCCTGGAACTGCCATCAACCCTAGATTTCCTGTTGTCACCATCTTCTGATGAAAATGTATCAATAACAGATGAGATGACACCACAGTCTTTGACCAGATCCAAGTATGTGCTTTCATTGTACAGTATTTAGTTAAAGCAAAAGAAATATTTTGTATTCTACTTGTACTGTGTATTTATTGTGCTAAATATTTTTCTGCATTTTTCATATTATGCATTAATAATGTATATACAGTACTGCAAGATAAGGCGTATACAAATGCAGTACAGATATCAAATTTAATATTTGAATCTTGATTAAGAAAAATATTATTTAATGCTTGGACTAAAGCAAATTCATGTTTATTCTCTCGTAGGAGTAGCCACCCTTATCTCGACCTCTCTTTCTGGAGACCTGAACCTGAGCAGCTATCACAGGTGGCTGTGGCTGCTCACATTGCTGAAGCTGCTGTTGAGGCTTGTAAACCTGCTGCCTCTGAACCTGAGGGAGATGTAGTTCTTGAAACAAAGGCTCAAGCTGTTAAGGAGACTTGTGTAACTGCTGCTTCTAAACCTAAATTTCTTACAGCTAGTGAAAAAAATGCTAGAAAAAAGATAGTGAGTAACTGCACTTTTTCTTAACCCATCATATATCATGTTAAGTAATTAATGTGTGTAGTATTTTGTTAATATAATGCATCTACAGTATTTTGTTGTCATTCAATAATTTTACTTCCTTATGTATTCCTAGTACAAACAACCACGTTCTTTGCAAACCCCCTCGGGGCTGAGACCCATCGGTTAACCTGTTGTGCTCATAAAAGTGGAATATAAATCTAGGGGAACAAATCACCAAGTTCGTAGCATAAATTTAACAGTAGAGAGGCATGGGGAGTAATGCCTCCCCCCCCCTCCCTCAGAGAGGCATGGGGAGCAATGGCCAGGGGAAACCCCCGTGTGGTTGGAAGCATTCTATGTCTGCCATCGACCGGGTCAGGCACCCTGAAAGGTAAGCATCCCAAAACAAACCCCTATTCTGGTGAAATTATTGCTACAGTACCAAAAGCCGAACAAGTGAATAGAACTTCTCTAAAAGAAACGAGCAAGTGAGCATGACGTCACACGTCGCCACGCCACTGTCTGCACAACTGGAGGTTGCCCCAGATCCCTCGTGCCGGCTATCCACCCTTCAGTTCTCAGGCTGATGCTAGAGGTGGAGGTTGTGTGTTCTGGCTCTTGCGATTCCAGCACTGTGCTTTGAGTGTGGTGGCTGTCTTCCAGGGGTGCAAGAGCCAGGAGTTATTCTACAGTACAGTGCTCGGGCTGCATGCACCTAGGGTTATCGTCCCTAGGTGCCCTGTAAGTACTACCCTTGGAGCTTGGGGCCACCTTCCACAAGTTCCTCGGGGCCTGCCTCTGCTAGGCCGTATTACTACTCGGTTTTTTGGCTGCCCTTTGGGTGCTTTGGGGTTTTGTCTTCCTTGTTTACCTTAGGGTAAGAGGCAGTTTGCACTGGTGCGGGGCGCAGGGTACTGTGCAGCTTGTTTTCACCATTCACAGTGGCTGGCTTTGTTCCTTGGGGTAAGTTGTCCTCTTGCGGGGTTTTGTTTTTCTTTTTGTTTTTGTCTTGTGGGGGAGTCTACCTTGCTTACCCCTTTGTGCCTGACCTATGCACGGTTCTCTTCTGGTGGTGCCCCCTGCTAGGCCCCCATGAGTGTACATGTCCCTGAGGTTCTCCCTGCCGAAGCCAATGGGTCTGACCAGTGGGCCTCCTTCTGTCCGGCTTACTCGACTGCGCCGGCCTTTTCTTTAGGGTGTTTTGGGGGATGATTCAGCCCTGGGTCCTGCGGAGGAGGATCCTGGGGCTGACTTGGGGGCCTTGCGTCCCGCTGGACCCCGCCTGGGTTTTTCTACCCTTTGAGCAGGGCTTGTTGTTACAAGGAGTGGGGTTCTCTTTTTCCCCCTCTGCGTACGAGTTGGCTTTAGTGTCTGCCCCTCCCTGGGTTCGGTTCCGTGTTCCCCTGGGTGCGTCGGTTCCGTCTTTCCGGAGGTTTTCGGCTCCCTGCATCCAACCGTCTGCAGTACGTGCAGCCCCTGCAGCTATCCTCCTGCGTGACCTGGATTATGCCTCGGTGATGGGACCGTCCTCATTCAGGTTTGGGGCTTCGTTCCCTTTCTGGGTTCGTTACGAGGTTCCGGAGTCGTCCTGGCTGACGGACTGTCCTGTGTTTGCCTTGGAGGCTTGGCATTCCTTCTGTCGTTCCCGCACGCTTGAGCGGCGCGAGGCGTCGATGGTGGTTCAGGTTTTCCTGGGAGGATGGGGGGGTGACCTTAAGCACATCAATGAGTGCTTGTTTGCCTCTGCCCTTCCCCGGGATGTTGGCACTGTGCAGCTCCATGTGTAGGTTTCCTCCCTTTTGGCTACACAGGTTGCTGAGGACATGCGCCCGGGTCTCTTGGCTTCGGCCTTACATTTCTTTTCCCTCCTGGAGCTGTCTTCGGACTGGCTCGAGGTGGACGTGGGGACGCTTGGGGCCGCTCCTGGGTCCGGTGCCTTGGGCTTGGCGGTTCGCTTGTCGGCTGCCTTGTTGAAGCTGTTTGCGCCGATCTTGAGGGATGCGGTTTCCCCGTTTTACTCTTCCTGACTCGCATGTCGGCAGGTGGTTCTTGCCTCCACTCTGGAATCGGCCTGGGCCCTGGCTCTTAGGATGTCTTCGCCCTTTCGTCCACTGCTTTTTGCTCCTTTGGCCGTGGCGCAGTATAAGTAAGGCTGCTTCGGCCAGTTGCCGTCCTATGTCTGACTTGGACTGGCGGGGCAGGCCTCTTCTCCTGCACTCCGTCGAGTCATCTTGGAGTGGGTTCTCTTGGGTGTCGTCGAAACGACATCGTCCCTCGGATGGATTTCCTGTTTGTTTCCAGTGCCGAAATGGGACTGTGTGAACCTGAGGTTCATTCTGGACTTGTCCCGTCTGAATCCCTGTGTTCATTGCCCCTCATTTCGGATGACTACGCTGTCTTAAGTTCGGCTCCTGTTGGAGCTGGGTTCTTGGATTGTGTCTCTGGACCTCTGGGACGCTTATTAGCACGTCCTGATTCATCCTGGGTTCAGGGACTGGCTCGGTTTTGTTGTAGGGCGTCAAGGTTACCGCTTTCGTTATCTCCCGTTCGGGTTGAATCTGGCACCTCGCGTGTTCACATGCATGCCTTATGCGGGTTGTCGTGACCCGTCTGCATCTTTTAGGGTGTTTGGGTGGTGGCCTACCTCAACGACTGGCTGGTCCTGTTGTCAGCTAGCCTGGGATTTGGCTCTTTCCCAGCTCGCCAGGTTCGGGTTCTTGGTGAACTGGAGGAAGTCCCATCTGGTTCCTTCCAAGGTTCGGTTCGTGGCTGGGTTTTGTGTGGGACTCTCAGACCGCTTCCTTGTCTCTTCCTCCCGGGGGAGGGGGAAGCTGTGCAGACAGCAATGCGGCGACGTATGACGTCATGCTTGTTTGCTCGTTTCTTTTAGGGGAGTTCTATCCACTTTTTCGGCTTTTGCTAGCAATAATTTCACCAGAATAGGGGTTTGTTTTGGGATTCTTACCTTTCTGGGTGCCTAACCTGGTCGATGGCAGACATGGAATGCTTCCAACCACATGGGGAAGCATTCTATAGGCTATAGGAAGCATTCTATAGGCCATTGCCCCTCATGCCCTTCTGAGGGGTCCAGGTTCTAGCTCGAGGTCCCCGGTAGGCCCACAGAACTCCATACACATGACTGATGCCAAAGTCTGACATTAGCATATTAGTCTAGTAAGCTCCGTGGTGCCTCCGGGTCTCGCCCAGAAAATGGCGTTTCATTACATTCATTGCTGGTTTTATATAAGTGATAAAGTCCCTCATCTGCTCCCCATTCAGCAAAAACAACCCAAGAAAATAGGCAGAAAATACTTTGAAATCTGTGAATAACTCGGCCAAAAAAAATCAAGTCACAAGTTCTGCCACCTGTGGCTGAATTACATGTTGACCAATTTCGTAAAAACTTCACATACTTAGTGGTCAGATATGCATTCTCCAGAAGTAGAAACCACAACAAAATCAGATGAGAAATAAAGGAGAAAAAACAAAATCCCTAAAATATAAAAATTGGCGGACATAAGAAATATTGGCATTGGGCAATGTATTTATATGATATATAATAAAATACACAACATAACATACTTACTCATTATTATTTGTGTGAAATTGTGCCCACCAGGTGGCAATTGGCCATCCTAGAAGGCACCAGTTGCGTATTTCTTTGTGGACCCTCCTTACTACTATTATTATTATTCTTTGTGCGTCGGAGAGGTGCTTGCATCTCTCTATCACTGCATTATCCATGAGTTCCACCAACTAGGTGTTATTGTTATCACCAGTACTGGTTATGCATTTTTTTTAATATAAAATCTATTTCTTAACATATTGGAATGAAATTTTCACGACGCTGATGCCAAATGCTGTGAGATTTGTTTTAACAGTTTTCACTGTCATATTGAGAGGAATATTTTTGTGCATCCGGCTCCTTAAGATGATCAAAACTAGTACTCTTACTAATACCATATTCAGCACACACAACATTTCTCGGGACTCTGCTCTCCACCTTAATTATTTCAACTTTCTTCTCAAATGTCATCACTGACCTCATTCTTTTACGTATTCACTGACTTAATGGGTGCATTTGGAGCTGACATGGTGCACTGATGTTCATAGATTTTGACAATATATCCAACAAAGTCACTGAATGAACACTTCAGTCCATGACAAATCAAAACAGTGGGAACAATGGACCGTGAATCTGTGACATCACAGGGTAGAAGGCTCTAGAGAGGCACCCGTCAATGTCACTGGGCAAACTAGGCCCATCTCCCACGCAACCATTCCCCACGACCCCGGGCCGCGAGGCCTGGCGGACGCTTGCCCGATAAGATACCCAAACTATTTTATGCGAACCTCGCGCTTCCCGAACTTGAGTATCCAAACCAGCCCCAATCGGGAAACTGGAAGTTTTGTATACATGGCGTTTGCAAAGCACGTGGCTGTCTGTCTTGTATTTCATAAGAGGGTGACCATCACCCCCATTACCTTTCCTCTGTTGTTACAGGAGTTTTGCTTGCTGGGCAGAATGATTGCTTCCTAACAATTTAATTTTTCATTCTTAGAACCGGGATGTGTGGAATCGCCTAAAGGTTCTCTTAGTTGGAGACAGCAGGTTGGAAAATTTTGCCAAGACTATGGCTCTCAAAGATAGTACGAAGAAAGTTGTGTGCATTCCTCGCCTGGAAGTTTTAGAGGCCTTGAGCATCATCTTTAAAGAAATGACTGTTGAGACGTATAATGCAGTGTTTATCATGGTGGGACACGCTGACATTACTTCCCTGGTACTGTATTGCTACATTTTGCATTGTTTGTTATGTTATTTTATTTGGAATCAAAGCCAGAAAACCTTTACGGGTTTTGCAATGCTTAGCTTTTATTCTTACTTTTTACGGCTGGCATGTTTCTGGGAGATAACTTCAGAAAGTCACAATGACTTGGCTTTTACTTGATGCAATTTTACATTGGCTAAATATCATTCACATTACTATTATTTTTATTATTATGATTATTATGCTTATTATGATTATTATTATTATTATTATTATTATTATTATTATTATTATTATTATTATTATTGAGTGAAGCAGCTTCCTGGTGACCATCTTGATAAGAAATGTTGTCCAATGTTAGTGTGTTAACCCTTGCACTGCTCACCTATTTTCGGCAAAAACGTCTTGGTGCAATTGACAAGGACATATTTTTATTATTTTTACAAATGTTCAGGTAAATTTAATGTCAAAATGTTTCCAAAGTCAACTATTTCCATTTCAAAACACAAATAGTAATGAAAACATTAAAAAACATTAAAATATAGCCAAATTAAAAAACAAAAAGCACAACTCTCTGAGCGCCTAAAGGCGCTTTGCGCAGTGCAGTGGTTAAACATGAGAACAAATGTAAAAGTACTACAGACATTTATGAACAGTGCTCCAGCTCACTCAGCCCCTGTGCACTTTGAGGGATGGAATCCCAGCATAACTAAAAATATGAGTATGCTAATCATCTTTTATTTTTTTTTTTTTATTAATTTTTTTTTTTGTGGGGAGCCTTTTTGACTCCCTGGCCTTATCTTACTGATTAAGGGCCATACTACTTGAGTGTCATCAGTTGCAGAGTTTTTTGTATGCCTATCGGGGACCACAAGCCAGAAACGGGCCCCTCAGAGAGGCACAGGGAGCAATGGCCCATGAACACTTTACATTTAAAGTTTGTCATTTTGCCATCAACCAGGGAAGCACCCAGAAAGGTAGGCAAATAAAAACAGACTACTGCATGGTTGAAGAATGAAATCAGTGACCTCAAAATGTCAAAAGAACTCTCCCCAGCAAGAAAACAAACAACCAAAACTTCATTAAACTAGCCCTCTGCTAGTTAACTCCACCTTCCCCCCCCCCCCTTCATTGTGGGGAGGAGAGAAAGCTTGCCACTCATCACCTTAAATTCATCCCTTTAATGATGAAACTCTGGATATATATGTGAGCATAATGTGGGCAGTTACTGTATACAGACCAGTTACTGTATACAGACCAATCAAATGTCTACATTTCCATATTTTCAGTGGGGAATCCCTTCAGCTCCCTGGAGCTATCGGATTGATATTAGTTTTATTAGTTTGAGGCTTCAATCAATGGAGTTCTGCCTACCGGGAACCGCAAGCCAGAACCCTGGCCCTCTCAGAGAGGCACAGGGAGCAATGGCTTAAGGAAATCCTCTTGTGTTTGGGAGCATTCCATATCTGCCATCGACCAGGGTTAGGCACCCAGAAAGGTAGGCATCCCAAAATAGATCCCCACTTGGTAGAAAATTGCAACCTAAGACCAAACAGGGAGCCAGAACAACCCCCTCGAAAGAAACAAGGAAACAAGCAAACGTCATCAGCCTGAGCCTCCTGCCGAGGCTTCTGGGTCTTCCCAGCAGGCCCCAGTCTTTGCTGCCTTTCCCACGGACTCTGCCTTTCCTTCAGGGGGTGGAGGGCATTGAGGATGGCTCTGCCCCGGTTCGGGGCTCCTGGGGGCTGGGGGGAAGTCAGCCTGGGGGGTCTTGGTCCCCTTTTGATCCTGCTTGGATTTTGGCACCCTCATCGCAGGGTTTGTTGTTTGCAGGGAAGGGGGGGGGGTTCGTATCCCCTTTCCCTGTATGAATTTGAATTGGGGTCGACTCATCCCCCAGTTCGGTTCCGGGTTCCCTTGGGTTGCTCGGCTCCTTCTTTCTGAAGGTTTTCCGCCTCCCACCCTCACCCATGGAGGTTCGGGAGGCTTTTGCTGATTACCTCCTGTGTGACCCGGATTTTTCCTCTGATAGATCAAACCTTGTTTGAGTTCGATTCTTCTTCTATTTCCTCGTATTGGATGCGTTATGAGGTTCCAGAGTCTTCCTGGCTGGCAAACTACTCTTTCTTTTCTCAGGGAGCGTGGTATGGGTTTTGTTGGACCTGTACGCTTCAATAGTGAGAGGCTGCTGCTGCTGTTCTGCAGGTTTACTTGGAAGGGGGGGGGGGGGAATTTGAGTGCCTTAATGCATGCCTTTTCGCCCCTGTGTTTCCTTGTGGTGTTAGCCTTCTACAGTTTGCACATGCAGGATCCCACCCTTTCAGCTGCTTTGGTGGCTGAGGATTTTCACATCAGCGGGCATTTGGCCTCAATCTTCCACTTCTTTTCCCTTCTCAAGTTATCCTCAGACTAGCTTGTGGAGGATGTGGAGGCATTTAGTGCCAGGCCATTATCTGAGATGCTGGCCTCGGCTGTCAGGGCTTTGGCTGTGCTGTTGAAGTTGTTTGCACCGATAATCCGGGAGGCGGTGTCTCTGTTTTTTTGCCTCTCATGCTCCCTCCTTAGAATCCGCTTGGGCCCTGGCTCTTAGATTTTCGTTGCCCTTCTGTCCATTGTTGTTTATGGATGGGGCTGTTACTCAGTTTTTGCAAGCAGTCTCAGCTAGTTACCGTCTTCTTTCAGATTTTTTTGTTCTTTGAGGTGGCCATTCTCATGCCTCTCGGAAGGGTCATGCCAGGGCTAGGGTTTCTTCTGGTCGAGGTGGGCCCTTGGTGCCAGTTTCTGAGTCGGCACATCCTTCTGAGCCATTGTCGTCTGGTCAGCCCACTGCTCGCTCTGCACGTCGTAAGCATCTCGTAAGAGGCACCGGCCGTTTTGCGAGTCACCCTGTTGATAGGATGCGGAGAGGGAGGCTGGCTCTGTTTGCCCACTCTTGGTCCCACAATTCGTGGGCGTTTCCAGTTGTGTCTTCCGGCTTGTGGTAATGTTGGGCAGCAGCTCCTCCTTTGAGGGGTTCGGGGGTGGTGGGGCAAGCTTCTTCCCCTTCTGATCTTTCACCAAGGATCATGAGCCAGAACCTGATCCCCTCTAAAGAGGCACAGAGAGTAATGGCATTATGATAAAATTGTTAGTGAATGTTAATTATGTCAACCACCACTAGGAAAGCACCCACAAAGTCAGCCAAAAAAGTACATTCCCTACTGGTTATAAGGAAAGATTGGTACCTTAAAATTGCCAAAAGAACTCAAAAACTCAAGAACTCATTTTGTATCAAAAATGAGACAAAATGTGTTAAACTAGCACAAGCTCGTTTGCCACACTTCCCACCCCCTCGTTTGGGGGGAGGAAGGAGGCAGGCCAGGTCACCTCAATTCTTCCCGATGATAACTAGTGCCCTGCTATCAGTAAAAATTAGCAGTAAAATATTACTGCTCTATCACTCTGGCTCCTGTTTCCTCCTTCAGCTAAGTGGTAGTTTTTGACCTTTTGTGGCTGTTTCAACACTAAGTTTGTGCTGCAAGCAAGCACAAACTTGGAGCTCAAACTATAGGGGGCTTCGAGCTGCATGTGCACAGGTTTTTTTTCCCCCCCTAGCACTGCCCTTGCACTGCCCTTGCACTGTCAGGATTCTATGGAGGGTTTGGGGTTCACTCTCTTAGAGGGCTTCCTTGCATGTAATAGTCCTTGTGCTGGGTAAGTCCATTTATTTTTGGCATTTGGTCTTCCCTGGGATCAGGAGCAAATTTTTGCTTCTGGCACGCACTAGGGTTGTGCGTGACCTAACCAAGGCACACCGAGGTCAGCCTTCTCAGCTTCCGGTGAGTTGGGTTGGCCAAATTATGCCTGTTCTAGTTTCCATACAACTTTATTTCATTCGTCTTTCCTTATATAGAGACTTCCCTTCTTTATTACAGGGTGAGGTGGTGGAGGGGGGGGGATGGCTGTTTTCTAATTGGGGTTCCAGCATAGTGATCCCTCTGCCTGGAATTCCTACAGGGCCATTATTGGCAGACCCTGGAAAACCCCTGCATGTTTGGTGGTCCAATGGATCTCTCTGCTGAACTTGCTCTCATCACGTGGGAGTTCAAGGGTTGTGCATCATCTGTGCCACTTGGCAGTGCTCATACCTTCTGCCTCCACCATGCTGCCTACTGGATCGGTGACACCTTCGACCCCCGAGTCATGTGGGAATTGTTCTCTGCATGTTTCTCATCTAACAAACCCTTGTGATGTTCAGGATTTTGTCAGTGACTGCTTTACACTTCAGGTTTTCTGTTTTACAGCATCTAGGTCATGTGCCTGGTTGGATGCCCCAGAGCTGCCCCAGTTGGTCTTTAGGGATTGGGCCCTTGAGTCCTGTTTGATACTTTGTGGACTCTTGTTCCTTCTGTAGAGGGTCTTCTGTTGCAATGTACGGGGTTCTCGTATCCCCTTTCCCTGTATGAGTTTGTTATGGGTGCGGCTCTTCCCAAGGTTCATCTCCAGGTGCCCATTGGTTCCTCGGATTCATCCTTCTAGAGATTTCCAACTTCTCGACTTTCCCTGGCAGAGGCTTGGGGGTCTCTCTGTGCGTACCTCCTGCACGACTCAGATTTCGCCTCGGTGATGGACCCAGCCTCTTTGAGTTCGTTTTTTTTTTTTTTTTTTTTGAGATATATACAAGAGTTGTTACATTCTTGTACAGCCACTAGTACATGTAGCATTTCGGGCAGGTCCCTGGAATACGATCCCCTGCCGCAAAGAATCGTTTTTTCATCCAAGTACACATTTTACTGGTGCGTTAACCCTTAACATGCTCGGGGTCTAATATCCTGCCATCCGCACAGGCGCATGTCATTTTGAAATTTTTTTTTTTTATTTTTTTGGCTAATCTGTTAAGTTCTGTTTACTGATCACGGGAAAAATAAAAAAAAAATCTATTGTACTTTTGTTGCAATAGAGCCGGAAAGCTCAGTGATGACGTCACAATCTGCATGTTCGCTCATGCAGTACGCGCCCCAGAGGCGTTGCGC